GTGTGTGTGTGTGTGTGTGCGCGTGTGTGTGTGTGTGTGTGTGTGTGTGTGTGTGTGTGCGTGTGTGTGTGTGTTGAGGGGGAAGGGGCACGTTCTGACTGAGATGCGCGAGGCAAGACTGCATACAGGTCCAGTGTGTGTGCCAAAATCGACGACGGTCCACGTCTGCACATTGCGTCCGCACCGCCTGCCCCTGAGTTTTGCTCCCTTGAAACCACCTGTGCTATGAAGATGGCGAGCACTGTGCGGCCCGGGCCGCTGGTCCAGGCGTTCTCCTCCGTTGACGAGCACACCAGCATCAGCAGCTGGGGGATGGACATGAAGCGTTGGTTGATGAGAGGCGAGGGGCGCGGGTGGTGCCGCTGGGGTGAGGAGGTTCATGCTTTGGGCGCGCCGGGGTGCGGGATGGTTGGCGGAAGGCGACCGTCAGTCGCTTTGAGAGCCGCGATGCACCGAGCGACTGGCAAAACGCCGGCTTGCTAGATAGGAAATTCTGTGAGCCTGCCTGCATGACACAAACAGAGTCCGCACTGACATCAGAAGTTTGACACAGCTGGGGTCTGGTAGCAAAACATACCCAAAACCCTGGACTCGAAAGTCTACACCCTAGCAACCTGGGTGACGTAGAGTGACATCAGCAGGAACGCGACGCATGTGAACCAGGCCATCTCCCCGCTGCCGTGCTTCAGCAGCGCGTAGGCCGCCATGGGTCCGCAGAACGCGACGTACACAAAGACGCTCGACACTAGGCCCTGGAGCGTGGCCATGACCATGGACGGCTGGGAGAAGCTGCGGAGAAGGTGCCGGGGCGGGGCGCGGTGGGGTTGGTTTGCGGGGTAGCTTGCTCCCGGAGAGGGGCAGATCACAGTGGGCAAGGAGGCGACGAGGGGATTGGCGTGACAGCCTCGGTTTCAAGACAAATTCGTCGGCTGCCGGGCTCAAGGACAAACCAATCAGAGTACAAGCACATATCCGATTAGCTCACCGCCAGCGATGGTAGAGCTGCAGATGCTGCGCTCGCACGCGGATAAGGTGGGGGCCGGCAGGAGGGTCGGGGAGTTGCACAGCAGCTGGCCGCCGGCACGTTGTGCCGCGCTTGTGTTTGAAGCACCTGAGCGCCCATACTTAAGCTTCCCTAGCAAACGTACAGCCTCGCTGTTGTCCAGGCATGCACACATCATAGCTGTAGGACACAAGTGGAACCGGCCCACGCGTGGCGATTGGAGGAGCTTGCAGGCGTGCAATGGCAAACGGTTCCAACCCCCCTGTTTTGAAAGCACTCCACAGATTTGAATCGGAAAGTCCACCAGCAACTCTCCACTAACCAAAGCTCAAGACTGACAACTCATCACCCACCATGAGGAGATTGAAGTAACCGCCGGCCACAAAGTAGGCTGAGAAGAACGCCCACACCAGCCACCTGGATCAGAGTGGATGTTTGTTTTCCAGGTTTGAAGTGCATCACTGATCAATAAAAGATGTCACTTTTGCGTTCGAAAGACAGCGCTGTGCCAGATTTTGCTTGCACCAAGCGCCAGCCAAGGCACTGAACGGCAAGGGCCGCCACACGTGCATCGGCGAGAGAGCAAAGGCGATCGCAAGACGGGGCGCAGCACGTTGAGTGCCTCTATGCGCGCATCGCCGCCACCGCACCCGAAGCGCATGTCGTCGAGCCGACCATTGTCGATGAGGCCGCTGCCTATGATCCGGGACACCACCCACTGCAGCATGAATGGGAATGTCCAGAAAAGACCATTCCCCACCTGCGGGTTCAAAACCGGATTGTTTTGGGCATTGAGGGTGCAAGTTGGGCGTCGCTGTCTAGCATGGGCGGCGCGCAGCGGCCTCAGTGCACGGCAAACACGCACGAGGGGGTTGAGTTCGAGCAAGTGTGCTTAGGAGTGGGGTGAGGCACGGGGCGAGCTTTGGCAGCCGGTTGGGGGGCCGAGCGCAGGGCGTGTCGCGCACCCAGAGAGTGAACATGGCCGTGTGGCCCGCCGCGCCGTCATCCAGCCCGTCGTCCGCGCTGGCCGCGTGGGCGGCCGCCGCGGCAGCAGCAGCTGTCGCCGCGGCGCCCGCGGTGCCCTCGGCGCCCCCCTTGCCCGGCTCGGCCGGCCGCTGCATGTCCTGCGTCCCCGGGGCGGCCGCTGCGGCCGCGGGCGGCGCGCCGCCGCGCCCGCCGGCGCCGCTGGCAGCACGGACCGAGATGACGGCTTCCGGAATGTCCCCGTCCCTCTCTCCCTCCTCCTCCTCTCCTGACTCGGAGTCCGAGCTCCGGCCAGGAACGGGGGACACGACGGTGCAGCTGCTGGGCAGCTTCTCGCGGTGGCGCCGCCAGAGGATGCGCCCCAGGCGGAACTTGTTGAGGCCAAAGAACTGGGCGACCTCGTTGGCGATCCCGATCTGGGGTTGGTTTGAGGATTTGTAAGCAATGGAGGGGGACGTAGTAATATGTCACGTGAGACAGTACAAACATGAGGGGGATGACATGAGCGTGGTCTTATCGGCGCAGCAGCGGGCACAGGGGAGCATTGTGGTTGCTTTCATCGTTCAATCTTCGCCAAGGGCAAAAAGCGTGGGATGACAGGTGGTGCGGGGAGGGAGAGGGGACTGTGGAGTGGGGCTCCCAGCACCCATACAGACACACGCGCGCGCGTGCACACACACAAACACACACACACACACACACACACACACACACACACACACACACACACACACACACACACACACACACACACAC